CACATATAAAATACCGAAAGTGTTGTAAAAAAAACACATTTTCTTTGTTATTATCAAGTGGAATTTTTGTTTTTTTCAGCATAACCATTTTGGTGTGTATCGTTCAGCATTACCGTTTTGGTGATGGGTCAGTAAAGGTCTGGGGAGGCATATCCATGGAGGGACACACAGACCTCTACAGGCTAGACAATGGCACCCTGACTGCCATTAGGTATCAGGATGAAATTCTTGGACCCATTGTCAGACCCTACGCTGGTGCAGTGGGTCTTGCGTTCCTCCTGGTGCATGACAATCCAACAGAACACCTCTGGAATATCATGTTTCAATCCATCCAACGCTGCCAGGTTGCACTTCAGACTGTCCAGGAGCTCAGTGATACCCTGGTCCAGATCTGGGAGGAAATACCAGAGGACACCATCCATCGCCTCATTAGGAGCATGCCCCGATGTTGTTAGGCAAGCATACAAGCATATGGGGGCCATAACAAACTACTGAGTACCATTTTGAGTTGCTGCAATGAAATTTCAGCAAAATAGACTAGCTTTCTGCATCATTTTTTCACTTTTATTATTTAGGGTGCCTTTGAATTAATTCCTCTGTAGGTTGATACTTTTCATTTCCATCACATGATGGAGCATCCTTAAGTTCCTAACACATTACCCAGTACATATCAGTATATATATCCAGCATGATATTTCTAACCATTGAGATCTGATGTGTTTTCAAAGTGTTCCTTTAATTGTCTTGAGCAGGATAGATAGATAGATAGATAGATAGATAGATAGATAGATAGATAGATAGATAGAATCCTAAATGTAATGAATGTGCAATAAAAAATATATATATTATAGAACTTTATATGATAATCACTCTATTATTTTACATTGATGTGATATGCAGTATGTCTATTTCTTACGTATTTTTTTTTACGTCCTTACCAAGCATTATTTATGTATTTCTTTATTTTTTTTTAATAAAAAAAATATTTTTCTAATATTCATTTATTGAACATTCTTTACATTCTGTTTTAAATATTTTTATATATTATTATTATTATTATTCAGATGTTACCTCTGTATTAACATATTTATTTATTATCTCTTGCACCTCTTGGGGTATTTTTACAGCTACTTTGGTTTAGTGATTGGCATAGGAGTGCCAACTATTATGTTTTTTAAATATATATATATATATATATATACACATTAATACAGTTAAAGTTACTGTTTCTTAAAGAAAAGTACATAATGCCATGATTGATAACAAGCAGATTTTACCTTCCACTGATCTCGATTCAGTAACCTCTATCTGACTGGTTTCTATGGATTACTCTGCACATCAGCACTGTTCTCTTCACTGTTTACTGAATAAGCTTGTCAAAATTCTCTTATAAAAAAATATTCTTAGAATTTTTGAAAAGACAAACACAGGTTTTTCTAACAAGCATGAGTAATGGAGCAGGTCTAAATTTGAGGTGCCATTTCACATACATGTCAAGCTTAGATTTTGTGAAATAAAAATGATAAAGGTATAATTAAAGATCACAGATTGCCTATTGCCTGTATCTCAATGTCAGCTCTACCATCTGCTCACAGTGGTATGAGGGGTTTACCAAAGAAGCGCTGACTCAGACGGGCGACTCATCTGCCTGCTAGTGTAATTATAGAAAGCGCTTGTTAGTAACCCAACAGACGGCAATCATCATAAGTCAGAAAGAATTCTTCCTTCTGGCATAAAAGGTGAAAAGATCTGTCTATTAAGAAATTGGAAAATAGAAATTCATTTTGTGTATTACGGAAGACAGCAAACATTGTTACAGCATTTTAGTTAATTTGTGGAGAATACTACGTGCTGCAACCTAAAGGACCAGTCCAGCCAAAAGTGATATTTTAGTTATAAATGGAGCCTGGTGGTCTGAGTAAGGTACTGGCTATCCAACAGTGAGATATTCCTGCCATAATTAAGGATTCAGTGTACTGTCCTCCTGGAAATTTGAGTCTTCCCACCCAACTTTGTGTGTTCCAGGTTCTGCTGTAATATTCTGCATAAGATAAAATAATTAAAAAATAAGTAGGGTGAGAGAGAATCCCCCAAAACCAATCAAGCAATTGTGCAGGTCCAGAAAGTCATCTTTAACCTCTTCACGCCAGCCGAACACAAATGTGCGGTCTTCCCGCGTCTGGGCCTAGACGCCGAGCGGCTGCACATTTGCGTTCTATTAAAAAAAAAACATATGTGCTGAGAGCGAGCGCCCTGCGTGCTCCCAGCACACATGTCCGGTACTCACCAGGAAGCCCACTGTCCATAGTTTTACATCCATTGTTGTTTACACATGTACTTGCATACATGTACTGTATACAGCCACTGAATTCTATGGGTGACTGCAGGCAGCACCTGTGGACTCCCTGGTAGGGAAATCCCTCTGGGTACATGTCCACTTGAAGGCCTACCCCATACAAACCATATATTTAGCTTTGTAACAGGCAGTGGCGGGTTAAAGTCTTTTGCCAGCTGTATATCTGGGAGACTACAGTGCTGACATTTTCCATTAGTGGTTTAACGTTTTGTCTTTTCCCAGAAAGCTTTATCAAGATGTCACTCTCTTCCAAATATTGCATGAATATTTATCAATTCTACAAAAATCCAGAGAAGAATCATGATGCCATTATTGTAATAAGTGCAGAACTTGGGCATAGAGGGAAATGTTGGTGGGGATAATCTAGTCACCTATATCGTACATGAAGGGTCACCTCTGAAAAGGAGATGGCCTTTAATTTAGCATGTTTTATTAATAAATTCCTTAAAAAAAGAGCTCAATAAATGTTTATTTTATTTAAAACTCTCAAAGCTCATAAATAATTTGTCTTTGTAATGTACTCTTAGATTATAGACACCTGGGATCCTGTACAAATTTATCTTCTAGAGCTGCATGTTTACAGACCCAGTGACGAAGATATGGTATGAGGTTAAAAATTGTATTGTAGAAGGGGCCAGCGAGTTAGGCGCTGTGTAATTAAATGACATGCAGCTAGCTAACAGAACACTTCTTACACTACCTAAGGGGATGTGCCGCTCTTAGTAAACAGACCCAACGTCATCCAGCTAGGCTGTACTCTCCCTCCTGTTTGCTGAAGGAGTTCCCTACGGTGCTGCATGTCACAACAGACGCAATCCAGTTTAATAAAGTGGACGGATGGCATAAGCAGATCCAAGAAACACATTATTGCTAAAAAAAAAGAAGCGTAAGCAAGCAAGAAAAGATTAAAAGATATAAAGTCAGAACTCGCTTAAAGCTGGCTGTTCACTTACAGACATTATATAAATACTATGGAACGGCAAATAACTAAATGTGTGTGAGGCATGTGTAGCATTTGTTACTACTTTATACCTTCTTCCACAATTTAAATGCAGCATTACATCTATGTGCTGTGGGAACGCTTGCAGACCATGTTAACGCATGGCTCTATGGGGTTGATTTGCTAAGGGCAAACATGCTGTTCATTTTGCAAGGGAATTTGCACTTTGTAAGGGAATTTTCCCTTAACTTAGTAAATGAGATGAAGCTCTGCTGACTTTTCTCATCCAATCATGTGCAGGCATAATTCAGGGTTTTTTTTTAACTTTTTTATTTTTCCTTGTATATGATTGGATATTTTTAACAAAGTGATATTGTAAAACATTCATTAAGTGAAAGGAAAACGCCCTTCCAAAGTAAACAGCCTATTTGCCTTTAGTAAATCAACCCACATGAGTTGCATGGTGTTGCTGCTAATAGCCAGCAGTTTTCAAAGTTTTACTTACATGTGATTGTGGGTGGGGGGGAAACCCCTTTTTTATTATTATTATTATACAGGATTTATATAGCACCAACAGTTTGCTCAGCGCTTTACAAAATAAAGGGAGACAATACAGCAGCAATACAGTTCAATACAAGAGGGTTAGGAGGGCCCTGCTCCTTGGAGCTTACAATCTAAGAGGGAGGGGCTGGTGCTACAAAAGGTAATAACTGTGGGGGATGAACTGATAGGAGGAATAGAAGATTCCGTTATTAGCTGTAGGCAGGATAGGCTTCCCTGAAGAGATAGTGGGCAGAGTAGGCGATAGTCAGATTGGGGTAGAGAGCTCCAGAGGATTGGGGATGCTCTGGAGAAGTGCTGGAGACCAGCATGGGAGGAGGAGACAAGGGAGCTAGAGAGCAGTAGGTCGTGGGAGGAGCAGAGAGGACAGTTTGGGTGATATTTGGAGACAAGATTGGTGATTTGGGGCAGAGTTATAAATGGATTTATATGTGATTGTTAATGTTTTGAATTTTATTAATTGGTCAGTCAATTTGAACAATTAATTTGAAAACAAATTGACTGTTGACAGAAAATCAAGCTCTATGTGTGCTGTGCTGCAGTGCTATTTATTTTGGCCTCCTAACACACATGCATTTTAGTGCAAGAGAAATGCACAGCACAGTGAACTGTGTTGCATTGGAAAAAAGGTTTAGGGGTGTTAGACCTGCATTGTGGTGCAAACCTTTACTGAAAATGAATAGGCTGCCATAACACAACACAAGTTAACACGTCATGACGTTATTGCACCACAACAGTGTGAATCTGGCTTTAGTATTGAAGAAACCAGTGACCAACATGTTCATTTAGGGGAGATTTATTAAAACTGGAGCACACAGAATCTGGTGCAGTTGTGGATAGTAACCAACCAGCTTCTAACTTCAGCTTCAGCTTCTTTAACCACTTGCCTACCGGGCACTTCTACCCCCTTCTTTACCAGGCCAATTTTCAGCTTTCAGCGCTGTCGCATTTTGAATGACAAATGCATGGTCATGCAACATTGTACCCATATGAAATTTTTATAATTTTTTTCTCACAAATAGAGATTTCTATTGGTATTATTTACTTGCATTTGGGCATTTTACTTTTTGCATTATAATAAAAAAAAAAGTTTTTTGTTTCTATTATAAAATTTTGCAAACAGGTAATTTTTCTCCTTCACTGATGTGTGTTGATGAGGCTGCACTGATGGGCACTGATGGATACTGATAGGCAGCACTGAAGGGCACTGCTAGGCGGCACTGATAGCCAGCACTACTGAAGTGGCACGGATAGGTGGCACTGATAGGTGGCACTGATGATGGGTACTGATAGTCAGCACTGATAGGCGGCACTGACTGGCGGCACTGCTGGGCATTGACTGGCGCAACTGCTGGGCACTGACTGGCGGCACTGATGGGCATTGGTGGGTAGCACCGCTGGGCACAGGTGGGTGGCACTGATGGGTGGCACTGCTGGGCACAGGTGGGAGGAACTGGTGGGTGGCACTGCTGGGCACCGATCATCAGTGCCCTGATGATTGGTGCCAATCCCTGCTCTGACAACTGCCGGTTCTCAGCAGTACTTTCCTCATGCTCTGACAGCGTGAGGAAAGTGCAGCCGAGAACCGGCAATTGCATTCCCCTGTGATCAGAACTGGGAAAAAAAGGGCGCTGTGGAAAATGCTCTCAGACAAGCACCTTAGTGAAGATGCATCTTTATTGGGTGAGACAAAGTAGAAAATATAATAAAATTGACCAGCCTGAAGTAGACAGTGTGACTCCAATGGACGGCCCGTCCGCTCTGAGGGGAGCTGAGATCAGAGAATGCTCCTGTCGGCTTCAAATCACGTGGTGTCAGCGTACCAGCATCCTGGGTGGTGTCACCATGGCAAGCGAAGGCAGTGTCCGGCGTTGGCTTCAGCTGGGAGCATATGTAGGGTTACCAAGATGACATGTTTCACGCAGTTGCTCTTTGTCAAGTCTTGTCTGAGGGCATTTTCCACAGCGCCCTTTTTTTCCAGTTCTCTTCATCATGCATATGATTAACAAGGCAGCAGTGGTGAGCTCATGATTAACTGTTCACATGTTTCCACCTGGAGTGGCCTCTCTGCGCTCATTTGTATGAGTTTTCCTTTCCCTGTGATCAGCGTGTCATTGGACACGGTTGATCACGTGGTAAAAGGCCGCTGTGATTGGCTTTTTACCACATCACGTGATCAGCTGTGTCCAGGGGCGGACTGACAACTCATGGGGCCCCCAGGCAATAGGAGATCATTGGGCCCCTGTGTCCTTGCCCAAACTCAAAAAAGCCTATGAAAAAGGTACCAGGGGCATCTCATGGGGCCCCCTACTGACCCCGGGCCCTCGGGCAGTGCCCGAGTTTCCAAATGGTCAGTCCGCCCCTGGCTGTGTCCGTAGGACACAGGGATGATGGAGAGCGCGTTCTGGGAGAACGTCATATGACGCTCTCCCAGAACTGGCCGGCCACAGTGCAGCCGTCATTCGGCTATCTACGATCGGCAACTAGTTAATTAACATGTTCCCGCAGGCCATACGTATATATGCGGACTCTCAGTGGGTGGTCTTTAATGCCAAGAGGCTGCATATGTTTGCAACCTGCACGCTTCCAGCACAGTTGCTGGTGGGTACTGGAAAGCTCCCAATACCTACTTGCAATTGAGAGCTTCCTGATCATGTGACTGCTGTGACTGTCAATCATAGCTGACACATGATCGGAATACCCGGCTCTCGGTATTAAGAACCTCTTAAAGGGCTGGGAGGCGGCGAGAAGAAGGGGTTAAGATTTGATGAGAAAAGCTGATTGGTTACTCTGCACAACTGCATCAGATTCTGTGTGCACCAATTTTAGTAAATCTCCCTCTTAATGTGCTTCTAACAATTCTGATTGGGCACCACTTATCAGAATGCACCACACATGTCTAACTGGCTCTGAATAATCACATGAAACATTAGTTGAACAGGTCTTGTCATGGTATGATCATGCAGAGTTCTGATGAGACTTTTCATAGAAGGTGGTAAAGTACAGCCTAGATTTTAGTCACGTTTATGACTAAGGTTTCAGTTTAGTTCTATCAGCCCTTTCAAAAACATGGTACAACCTTCAAAAATGTTCTCCACACACAGATTAACACCATTACTGTCTTCTTAACTTATACAACTTATTTAACTTATAAAAATCCATAGAAACAACTTAAATTCCTTTCTGGTGCTTCAAAAATCTCTACCAGGAACCAATTCTGGACCAGACTGCATTTTTACCTGAAGGCTGGTAGTTTGGCAAGGAAGTCCCTAGCAGCTAGTCACTGTGTGGACAGTCTCATAATGCCTTAGCAGGTACACCATGGCACCTTGGGGCTTCCTACCTTCCCCCTTTTGTTTTTTTCCTACTATTTGATTTGGCTCTTTTAATTACCAGTTCCATTTTAGATGGCAAACCCTTCCTTTTTGGTTAAGTAATACCCTGCTGTTCTTTATATGCACCTCAAGCAGTTATGATTTTGCTGAGAAAGACCTATCACGTTTGCTGTTTCTGGGCTAAAAAGAGATTATACTTTTACCTGTGATAGCCTGGGGGAGTAGCTGTCATCCAATGGTACATAGACCTTGTCTTTATGTATTTGTTGGAGTCTTCTCCAACAGCAGATCATTTGGAAATCACTTCAGCCAACTCACTGCTTCTCCACTCACAGCTTTAGTTAGTTGCGATCAGTTTATTGGCTAACGGTTTTCTTGGGCTCAAGCCTAAATTGTTCAGGTCCGTTTTATTAAATTATAGTGATGATTTAGGCGTTATTTGAAACCCCATTTAAAAAACACTGAAATGTATAGGCTTTTTTTTTTACATTCTCATTTGCTTGTATTAAATTTGGGAGGGTGGGGAAGAGTATTGTGCTGTCCCATGTACATGTAACTGGGATAGTGTTTATAGGCTGTACTATCAGCTGTAACATTTATTAAAACATTGATGCAAAACTCTTCTTCCATTTAACTCTAACTCTTTTATCCCTTTTTTTGTTAACCCTTTATGATATTTTAACAAACCGTCTATGTGGTTGTTAACTTAATGATAGTTTCATAATGAATTAGCCTACCAAAATAACCTGTTTTACGTGCTGTTTTAATAATTACTCTTTTTATTATTATTATTATTGTTAGGTGACAATTGTAAAAACATGTGAAAAAACATTTTTTTTATTTAAAAATTAAAAACACTTTTTTAAATTTACTTTTCAAATTAATGTATTTTTTTCTTTCACAGTCTGCATTTCACTTTAAAATCCACACATTGCTGATTGCCTTTGTCAAAGTGCCTCTGCGTGTAACAATGCCATGTGATCAATATGATTGGCTTTCATGTTGATTACATGATTGCCAGCCATGCTGATTGATTCCCCATCACTGTATCTGACAAGGCACCTACAGTACTGTCACAGCTATTGACATTACTACTGTATCCCCAGCATGGGATATTGTGCTAAGAACCATTAAACAGACTGCAGGAGGGAAGTGGTTAAAGGATAAGTGCATGTTTACATTAAAAACTCCCTCCCATGTATAGGAAACATGCAGGTTGGCTTTAAGCCAGCTTGTGTTAAATTAGCCATTACAACTACTAAAGGAATTCCTTGGATGTGATAAATCTAAATTGGAACTAAATTCAAAATTGTATTAAACACGTACAGCATAAGTCAATGCAAATGTACTTATGGTAACATGACTGGAATTGAAAGTACATTTAACCTAAAATGCAAAATCTAATATATACATATTTGTTTATTTTTTATCATACCCACTATGTAGATTATTTTTGTAATTGTGTATTTTCCTGCCTGCAATTTTACCTGGAGATCCATCCAGTGAGAGCTTTCCCTTGCTACCACAGAGTCTGCATGTAATCTTGTGTTTCTGATTGGAAGAGTGCAGAATTCGACATACTTCCAATAAGAAATACATGCAAGTGTGCTCAACCTTAGTCCACACATTGAGAGCTCTGCTCAACTTTGACAGCACTGATTTTGGGACAGGTAGACCAGAAGTATCTAAAGGCTTTGAGCCATGAACTTTGGGCCATGTGCTCTTACAGAGCTATATTACATGTCTTGGGATGGAAACAATTGAGTACTGACGTGATACTTTTTTTATTTGCACTAACATACAAATTTGAGGACAAGCTTTCGGGGTATGTCCCCTTCTTCAAGGTCCAGGCAGTACTATTTTACAAAGTTTTAGCAGAATGTTAAAAGAGATGTTGAAAGGGGGAGAAAAAAAACCCCAGAAAGAAACACACACAAACAATTGTACACAGCAATGGTTATAAGACTAGGATTAGACTAAAGATAAAACACAGCAAAAGCAAAGACTGGGGGGGGGGACAACACTCACAGAGGGGGTCGTAAAACTGTTGGATAATGAGTGAGGAATCCCATGTCCGAATTAAGGCCGTTATCTCTTGTATCAAATAGAATTATCATTCTTAGTTCAAAAAGTGTCACACACTCAAAAGGGATCTTCAATATTTCCGAATCATACAGCTGAACCTCTAGTAATGTTGTGTACCTTATCCAGTGCAGAAAATGTAGCAAAGGATCTTATGTTGGCGATACAGGACAGAAGTAGCAAACAAGGATGAATTTGCACAGACATACCATCAAGGAACATAAAGAAGATGACTTCTGCACACCTGTGGGACACCATTTGGCACAACCAGACCACACTATGGAAGACCTCAATGTTTTAGTTCTTAAAGGAAATTTCAAAACTATTCACGAAAGGAAAACTTTTGAACTAAAAATGATAATTCTATTTGATACAAGAGATAATGGCCTTAATTTGGACATGGGATTCCTCACTCATTATCCAACAGTTTTACAACCCCCTCTGTGAGTGTTGTTCCCCCCACCCTTCCCAGTCTTTGCTTTTGCTGTGTCTGATCTCTAGTCTAATCCTAGTCTTATAACCATTGCTGTGTACATTTGTTTGTGTGTGTTTCTTTCTGGGTTTTTTTTTTCTTTCAACATCTCTTCTAATATTCTGCTAAAACTTTGTGAAATAGTACTGCCTGGACCTTGAAGAAGGGGACATACCCCGAAAGCTTGTCCTCAAAATTGTACGTTAGTGCAAATAAAAAAAGTATCACGTCCAGGGGCGGAGTGACAACTCATGGGGCCCCCAGGCAATAGGGGATCATGAGGCCCCTGTGTCCTTGCCCAAATTTAAAAAAGCCTATGAAAAAGGTACCAGGGGCATCTCATGGGGCCCCCTACTGACCCCGGGCCCTCGGGCAGTGCCCGAGTTTCCATATGGTCAGTCCGCCCCTGATCACATCAGTTCTCAACTGTTTCTGTTGCAAGTGCACTAATACGGCTACAATCACCTCAAGCATATCTTGGGATGGAAACTTTGGCTGCCTCCAAAAATTTCTGCTGAAACCACTGAGCTTGTGGTTCCTCTCCCCAACCCTCCATGGTTAATGGGGATACAGTAATGATATAGGAATAGTCAAGAGAAGCCACAGTGATTAGGAAAAAACCATAAATATGGCATTCCCTGAAGTTTCATTTTCTGAAGAGGTGTCCTTGAAAAGACATGACTTCCGGACCACATTCTGGCACTGAAGTCCACCCATGATTTTGAGAGTCACCTTCCATGGACACCTTTCAATCTACCTGATAAGGAATGCACACATTAGAATGTGATTGTATTTCAAAAACCACAAGTGGTTTAATCAACAGTATTAAAATGGGAAAGAGAAACTTCACCCCCTGTAGTCAATTTTGCTTTTACCCCCTTTTAACACGGTTTACTGGGATATCCTGAATTTGCATACTCACCCACCATGTGAATCCAGAGTTGCCCTGCTGTCTCACCACTCACTACTTTCCTGATGTTATTGGAGCTGGATGTCTCCTCCAGATTCAGGCAGCCAGCCTCTTGAAGATGTGCCACTAGGTCCTTCTTCCTCCAGCCATAGAATATGAGCTGCTTCCTCCTGACATAATTGATGTAGATAACCCAGAAGGCTGCTGGAGCAGGGCTGATGTAATTCTGGTCTAGATGAGAATGTTTTCTTAAAAAATAACCAAAAAGGGTTGCAGTTTTTAAGTTAAAGGTGGGAAAGAATTACTATTATATAACCTGGCATTTGGGAGTAAAGGTTTACTTTAAGTGAAAAGGATAAAGGGAAGTAATAAAAATATACAGCCAGTGAAACACAAGTTAAGGTTATTTCAGGGACAACTGGAAAAGACACTTGGTGCCAATAACCTGAGAAATAAAAGGTGTAAGTGTCAGACTGTTTCCCTTGAGGTGTTTTTAGTTTTTATTTGTTGCAATAGCCAGAATGTGTTAGAAGACATAGAAAGCAAAGTAAATGGCTAGGAGGGAACACAGACGTGGTCAGGAAGAGTGTTAATCTTGATTGAGTTTTAGTCATAGCCAATTTAGTTGAGTTGTATTTTAGTCATCTGAATTGTTTTAGTTTTAGTTGTATTTTAGTTAATTAAAGTCTCTAGTACTTTCTAGCGCACAAAAATAATTTTATTTAACTAAAACCTAATGGGTTTAGTAAAATTGTAATGCATTATTTAGGCATTTCTCAAAAAATTCCAAATTCATTATATATACTCCTGGAGTAAAAATCTAATAACATGTTATTGTTTATGGTACTAACGTTTGAACATGTACTGCAGACATAGATTTAGCCGTTGTGATTTATAACCAATGTTAATTTTGAACTCAAATTTCAATTTAGATTTAGTCATAGTCTTTTGACTAAAATGCCATTTTAGTTTTAGTTGTATTTTAGTCGTCTGGATTGTTTTAGTTTTAGTAGTATTTTAGTCATCTGGATTGTTTTAGTTTTAGTTGTAATTTAGTCGTCTGGATTGTTTTAGTTTTAGTAGTATTTTAGTCTGGATTGTTTTAGTTTTTTAGTCGTCTGTATTTTAGTCGATTTTAAAAATAGTGTTATTTTAGTCAAAAATATTTTCGCCTGCGAAATTAACACTGTCAGGAAGGCTGTAATAAAAAGAGTGAAGAAAAAAGGACAGACCAGAAGAAATGTTAATTCTATCCAACAGTGTCATAATATTTTACATTTTCCAAAGGGTCACTGTAATGTGAATGTCCATGTCCATGACATCATTTAGAAGTAAATGAAGGACCCAGAAGGAACTCGGGAAATGAGAAGAAGATGGCTATTATAAGATAGGGAGAGAGCAAGAGGGAGAAGAAAGTGAAGAAGAATAGAGAAAGAGTCCAAATGACTTGAGGTGGGGGGCACCAAGAATCCTGTAAGCCCCTGACTTATCAGCCATTTATAGCTTATTAAAGATAAGGTGTTCACTCCAATCTGCCATGTTTTTTTTAACATTAGGGGTCTGAGATTGTGTTTGTGTATACATTAAGAGGATAAAATTATAATATCCAACAGTGTCAGGTAGATTTAAAGTAATTTTTGATTGGCTTTTTGGAATTGTATTTGTATCTACAAATAGATACAAATATCTATTTATAGATTACCCACTAAGGCTCAGTTCACACTGCCATGACTTGGAATCCGACAATCATGACATGTGAAATCCCATGTTATTCAATGAGAGCTGTCTTAATTAGCACTACTGAAGTCGCTTCGACTTTAGAAAAGGTTCCTGTACTACTTCAAGGTGATTTCTATCCAACTTGTGCCCATAGTGGAAGTCACCTCCAAGTTGGATTCTCATCTATATTTATGTGATTTGGATCCGACATTACAGAAAGATTACCTGTAGTTGATGTTCTTATTGGCCACAGACAAAGTCACATGGCATGAAAGTAGCTTCAAAGTTGCATCAAAGCAGTACTCAAGTCGCATCAAGCCACCAGCAAATCGCTAGGAAGTTGCCTGGCAAATTCACACTGTGAGTCACGTGACTTTCAGGTTGCAGTAATGTGAACCAACACTGAAAGATGCAGCTAGAATTAGAGCCTGTTCACAGTATTGCAGTACTGCATTATGTATGTGTTGGTGTGTTGTGGTGCCATTACATTTAATAAATACCACCCCAAGCCGCCTCCAGAACACAGCTGCATTATAGCACACCACAGCACACTAAAATACACAATGTGCATTGCCTTACAGTGTGCTGAACATGTTGAGGTGCTTTACATTTTAAATGGACTGCTAATGGAATGTACTGTAACATGCCTCAACACCTGGAAACACAATAAGTTGTCAACCACACAGGGAATACATTGTGTTTTAATGGGTCAGCCAACACCCTGACTTGCATTCTGAGAACAACCATTGTATACCATTGCAAAAAACAGGAAAATTAGTCTGCATATGTAATGAGCAATATGGTTGACTCTGTATTCATAAATAATATAATAATAATATAATGATAATTAAAAAAAAGCAAGGTAAACATTGAAACTGATAGGTAAGGTTAATTACATGAAGCTGTTTTTTTTGTATATGTTTATCCTTAAAAGATGTTTAAAAGAATATTCCCTATATACTGTTGATCGGGGGTCAGCAACCAGTAGATCATGTTCTAACAGTAGATCTTGGCCAGGTGACTGGTAGATCTCAGTCTGGGCTTGCTGACACATCATCCCAGAGCATCAAACAGACTGCAATGCAGAGGGACTACTTGTAAAGTTGGAGCTGCAGTAGGGAGCAAGAGCGTCATAAGTTGATGTCTCCTCTGTAGTGCTGGCTCCTACACCCTGTCATGTTTGGTGGGTGTAGCACCAGCCAAGCATGACATATTCAAGTGAATGAGGCCGCTCTGCAATTGTCCTGCAACCTTGTGCAGCACAGCAAACAAGAGGTTAAGCAGGCAGTAGTGTGTTGCTTTCTCACCACCTGCTTTAAACCCTTGGACCCTGCAGAAGCCTGCAGTTGCATGGCACTTGCAGAGTGGCCAATTTACCTGAATGGGTGTCAGTTGACAGGAGGTAGCACCCACCAAAAGCAACAGGGGATGTAATTCCTGCTGCGGCATGTGTACATCTTTGGCTGCTGCCTCAGCAGTTAAAGGGGGTAGGGATTGGGGGGCAGAAAAACCATGATTCAACTATTGGGTTTTTCCACCCCACAACTTTAAATGTTAACAAGCCCTTAGGGTACCGTTGCCGATTAAAACTAAGGGTTCATTCACAGGTGAAGTAGGCACTGCTGCTCCTCTGCAAAGCGATCCCAGTGTGTTTGACAGTTGGCGAGGAGGTGATAAGTTGCTTCTTCATCACCTGATTTAAACCCATGATTGCCGTGCAATACATGGTAGCACAGCTATTTAGAGGTTTAACCACTTGCCTTCCTGAGGATTTACCCCCCTTCCTGACCAGACCATTTTTTGCATTACAGTGCTGTGCTACTTTAACTGATGATTGCGCGGTCATGCAATGCTGCACCCAAAGTAAATTTATGTCCTTTTTTTCCACAAAAATTGACCTTTCTTTTGGTGGTATTTGATCACCTGTGCGTTTATTTTTTGCGTTATTAAAAAAAAAAGGCCAACAATTTTGAGAAAAAAACAATATTTTTGACTTTTTGCTATCAAACAGTCCAGTAAAAAAAAAAATTTAAATCTACTTTCATCATAAATTTAGGCCAAAATGTATTCTGCTATATGTCTTTGCTAAAAAAAAATCCCAATACATGTACATTAATTGGTTTACGTGAAAGGTATAGCATTTACAAAATGATACTGGATTTTTTTTTTTTACTAGTAATGACGGCGATCAGAGACTTAGCGGGACTGCAGGACTGTGGGACTGCAGCAGACATTCTGACACTGGGGGGACATCCCCAGTGACACCAATACAGTGATCAGTGCTAATAAATAGCACTGACGCTGTACTAATGGCACTGGGCAGAAAGGGGTTTACATGAGGGGCGATCAAAGGGTTAACAGTGTGCAGGGAGTGTTTTACTAGGGGGCTGTGTCAGTGTGTGTCACTGTGTGCACAGCCATCCAAAGCAGTGTGCCCAAGCTGACAGGGAGAACTGTTAGTAAACAAAACAGTCCTCCTCCCCGTCAGAAATGCTAGGTAATCAATGGGACCTGGTGATTGACAGCTGCAGTTGTGAATGGTGGCGCAGGTAGGGCCCACGCCCTCTACCAAGAAATGCAAAATCATGTATATATATGTGATTTTGTGCACTGCTGCCCCCCCCCCCACACCAAAACACACCAGCTGCCAGCACAGATCAGGTGCTGATACCATGCTGGTTTTCCAGCATGCCTGTTCAACAGAAGCCGGCTCCTACTGAACTGGCCATGACCGGCCAATATTCAGTTTGTGCACACAGGGCTTAAAAGTCTGAAAGACAGTAGCGTG